TGTATAGATAGATGTCAGGATTTTGAGCATCTCACGTGATAAAACTAATTGTAGAAGGGTTTTGTAGATGGAAATTTTGTGCTTATAGTTCTGCTTCTGGGAATTTCCATCTATAAAACCCTTCTACTGTAAAGAATACCATTTTAATACTGTATTTTCAAAAAAATATTTTCTTCCAAGATGAAAGCAAATTTTATTGGGGCCCAGGCGGAGCTCCTACAAGCCATCTGAAAATTGCAATATTTCAGCTTAGATTACTCTCCTATCTTTTTCATTGTTTTTAGGATTTATTCACCCAAATCGCTAAAAGCACTATTTAGTAGCGATGTCAATTTCACAACACATTTTCCTATTATTCTAATTGCTGCACTGAGCGCACTCCTCTTCAGGTACTTGCCAGCAGGCGGTCTTTCTACTTTGAATATTATTACCATATATGGGTATGTTACTTGAGGAAATCGACAATATTCAACGACCCGTTAAATTCTACTAGAGTTTCACTCGCCTTTCTGAAAGGCTCTTCGTTGTTTACCCCGCTTCGTATACTGTGTCACGTGCAGTTCTGCAATATTGACTGAAATTCACCTTCGATATCGCTAACTTTCCATTCGAGCTGTTCTTGTTTACGTCGCTGTTTTTCAAGTTGAGATCTCAAAGCATTAATAATTCATGAGTAAATTAGCCAACCATATTGCTTTATTTTGCCCTGGTGAAGTATATGGATCCAGTCCTAGGACTAGATCAAAATTAATTCACCTCACTTTAAGTAGTGATTTATTCGTCATTTCAAATCCTCCAATTCGGACTGGGCTAGATTTCAAGTCCTCGCATTTTCATCCAGTCCTCAGCTTCGCCTCGGACTTCATCAAATTGCGCGAACTTGAAATCTAGTCCAGTCCCCATAGTCGGATTTGAAATATTACTCACGCACACTGTGCGTATTATTGTGCAAATATTACTCACGCACACACGCACACTGCGTATTAATGTTTAATTGGCACGGTTTTTAACCAATCAGAATCGAGTAAATTGAGTAAATAAATTAACTTACCAAACTTGCATGGTCACACGAACTGGGCGTAGATTAATCCAATAGTTGTTTCATTATATCGAACAAAACATTCAATTATATTAATACAAAAAGTTGTTTTTCTAAGTGACAGACAATCGAGAGAAATTCTTCCCGATCGCCTCATGATCACATAAACGTAGTAAAAATTCTAATCATAACATGTTGTTTGTTATACCCGTAACCATAAAAATATATTTATTTATACAGCCATTAAAACGTACTTAACATGCACAGCCAGGTGCATTGCGTTAAATGCGTTCACTGAGTATTAAAATACGCCAAACAGCACAACATAAATGTCAGTGACGCTGTTTAATATGGCCGACACATTGATATGTACTGAGCAGGCATAGCACACGACATATTTGTAACTGCATATAAACATACCTTGCGTGGTCAAGTTAAAGACTTTGTATATTTAAAGGTAAGTCTTACTTTGACTATTTCGTGTTCAATTGTAAATAACAGAACTTAACTTTCATTTTCAATTCAATTCTAATGTGAAATTGCTGAGAAAGACAGAAAATTCTCTCCGTGCGATTAGAACTATAGCATCTTCAGCTTTTAGACATGCTCTCTACCCTTTAATTAAACACCATGTTAACATTTCTGAGGACAATTAACGGGTTTAATTTAATCGATGGAGGTTTCGGTGGCGCAGTTGTCAACGCTCTGCCGATCGCGTTGTGAGTTTTCTCCGGAAAGTTGACAGGGTGGGTTAGGATAAATACATGAAGTTAAGAAAGTATAATCACATGTACAATTGTTGTAAAGATAAATAATCTAGGCCGCAGTAGGTGACATAAGTAAGCGACTACTAAGCGCAATACTTATATGTGATCATTAACTGAAAAGTCCCAGTGGCAATGAGGAATGAGCTGAAAAATAATGTAATGTAATGAATGCGTAGTATATTATACCTTTTATAGCAATGCGCCTTAATTAAGGCTAAGTATTAAAACGCTTCCTTATATTTAGAAAATAAAATATATAGTCGTAGAATAAAATTAAAATATTAATATTTGTTTTTTCGAAAATTTCCCAGTGCCACTGAACCGTATCTTCCTTCTTTGTTGTGTTATAGATGTCCACGTCTTTAGTCTTAACTCCTTTAAACGGACTTAATTTGCGTAATAATTAAGGACTGTTTGTCCCTGCCAAAGTGTCGTACTAATAGATATAAAAATAGTTTTATTCCAGCAATGTGCTTTGAGTTAAGGAATAAACTTCAGTGATATAGTTTAATTAGTTGTATATTATATAGATTTTAGTTGTATATTATATATAGATTTTAATATTTTAGATAATTTATTGAATTTATGTAAACATATCATAATTCATTGTATTAATGCCAAGATATGTAAATAAACCATTTTATTATTATTATTAATATTGTTATAACAGACGATTAAATTTTATTACAGGCGGCGCGTTTATCAGTTAACCAACCTGTCTGCTTATTCTTTTGTCAACCTATTAATTGCCCCAATACTTTATACTTTACTTCATATGCAAACTGCAGCTCCCTGGCGATTTAACTTATCAAGGACAAGAGAAAAGTGTTGGGCGCGTCATATGAGTTAACTGATGCCCACGTCTTTAGTTTACTGGCCGCTCACAACAGCTGCATATAGAGACAGATACAATTAACTACCTGGAAAATATAAGCATGCAGAACTTCAACTCGTTCACACTTTAAATCGATCCGAAATCGATTCGGAGCCGTCCCGCAATTTGGAAGAGGAGCGTATCGGTTAGTCATATCGCTTTAATTCGATTAGATCGGTTCCCATGCATTCACCCCAAACGCGCCATGCATAATGAAGTTTACTTTATTAATTTACTTTATCTAATGCCACACGAGAGAAAGTGTTGGCCTGCATGGGGTTCAGAGTAAAACGTCAGTCTAAAATTTTTCTTTTGGTGCGTCAGAGAGTGCAGAGTATACTACTCTTCGATATTAAAATACATACATATTTAAACTGACAAACACATAGCTGGATGAAGACTTCGCCAGCAGCAATACTGGAAATTGTCCCGCCACATCATTCACCGCTGCCGGAAAATTTTTAACAGAAATCTTCGCAGGAAATTGTCTTATACGTCTTGCAGGAAATTTTTGTCATTTTATATATTTTCTGAAATGCCCAAAAATTTACTTATTGTTTATAAAACGGCGTTTTGAAAGTCGATATTATTGAAGTTTATCAAAATGTGCGGTGCCATACGTTCTCTAAAGTCGATACATATGCAGCAATTTTTTTAATTTTCCGGATTTTGCTAGAAATATAGTGCATGATACTTTCAAACCTTGAACGCGTGCGTGTTAATGAAGGAGATGGCGTTTAAAAATTAATGCATCACAGCTTTTTTTTTATTCTAAGACATTTAGTCTAAGTTTTAGTTTTAGTTTTGGGTAAAAAGTGCAAATTTCTAGCCTACATGCACTTCTCGTCTCTGATCTCTGATATCACTTTTGAGCAAAAATGTTTTACCGTTAATTAATTAATTTACAATTTTCGTCATTATAGGCAGCTGTTCCGCGGGAAAACTCTTTCTTATCATCGTAGGGCCTGTTCATATGAGCTGAGCTGCATGGCCCGTTTGTTTGCAGAAACATAGTTTGCAGAAACACATGGATGAGCTTAAATTATTCATGAAGGAAATATCATTCGACATTCTTTGCATAAACGAAACTAGATTAGACAATACAATAAACGACAATATTATTAAGATACCAGGTTATGATATTGTAAGACGAGACCGAGA